TCTGTTTTTCTTATATTGTGTTATTAGCGTTGCATATATGTTGAAAGAAGTGAAAAAACAGCATAACTTCCCTAAAAATGGCCCGATCATGCTGATTTTCGAACTTTACCTGCGTATTATGAATATTCATCAGTTCTGTAAGTTTCAAGCCAAAAGGTAAAATGGTTTTCCATTTATGGTGTTATCGGTGCTGCATATATGCTGAAAAAAGAGAAAAAATAGCCTAAATTCACTAAAAATGATCCAATCACATCTGTGTCTGTACATAAAAATTAATTAAAATAAAGAAAATGTCATTTTGGTCAAAATTCTTGAAATGGGAGGTGCTCTGAAGTTCCAGATGTTCAAATTTGATGAAATAATGTCATTTTTGACCACAGGTTGTCTGCCCTCGCCAAGCCTTATGTTTTATTTTTCTGGAGTTCAAAATTTATTATCCATTACTGTACTGCACATTTTGCTTTCACCACCAATATATACTTTTTGATACAGCGTAACTCGAAAACCGTATGGAATACAAAAAAACAGAGACCACTTCCAGTGTTGGGCTTTACATGCTCTACAAAATGCAAAAAAGAATGGGTCTCTAGCATTAACGGTTCCCGAATTAGAGACAGTTTTCAGTTTCGTTATCTTATGGCTGCTACTCCCGTGAAAATGCAACGATTGACCCCAAATTCACGGAGATGAAAGATGACCTGAAGGGTAACACTTTCCAATAATATTATTGGTTAAGTCTGTGTGGTGTCTGAATAACAGGGCAAATAATTTTTTTTTTCATAAAAAAATTCGTTTTTATGAAAATTTTGGCCCGTTTGACCTTGAAATAAAGGTCAAAGGTCAAATCCAAGGGCATATTTGAAATCTACACATATGACTTTTGGAAAGCCGTCTGTAGAAATTTTTCCCATAATTCCTTCCGTAGGGTAGATAATTAGCATTTAATTTTGCCATTTTTAGACAAGGGTGCATTGCAATGAGTGCCACACCTAGACCCCAATACCAACAAAGCCCAAATTTTACGTGGAACGAGTTGAGATTATAGGTGACCTAAATCCAAGAGATGGGTACGGAGGCCCTTACTGTCTAGGAGGAGAAGCGGTAACGGTAGCCGTCCGGCGGAGCCGGCGGAACAATCCGGACAGGACTAAAACCATGTGTACCGCCAGCGCTAACGCTGGTGGTACAATGAGAGTGAATCACAATAAGACACTTGCATTCAAGTTAAGAGCTAGAAGGAGAATCCTTAACTGCTACATAAAGTAAGACAGATCTAAAGCATTGAAAAGTTATGACTATAGACAACGCATATCTATGCCAAAACTTGTATTTTCTGATCACAGTTATTCAAAGAGAACATGTATTTAAAAGAAAATGTATGATTTCAAGATACTACTCTGTAATAACCTGGTTGTGAAATATACACAAGTTTGTTGGTCTTTCTTTTACCCAAAACTTAAAAATATAATTGAGAAATCTAGAAATTAAGTAAATGTAAAAAATATAAATAAATAAAAAATAAAAAATAAACTAAACTAAAATAAAATTATAATTATCATGTACACAATTTGGCCTCTATTCGTGTCTGATGCACCTTCCCAGATTATGACAATGTAATCTGTTTTTGTTGCTTCCGTGAAGCTCTGCTGTGAGATGATCGGAGTTACAGCACAAAGCGACTCCACACAGGTGAGATACTTCTGTCTCTCTCGGTATGTTGGGAATCCTTTCCTTTAGCATAAATGTCACCCTGTGCACTCCAACAGTAACGGAGTATCCGGCCCCAGGAAATGTAACCCTCATCATCCCATAACAGACCCCAATGGAACAACTGGTGCCCCCAGTCCACAAACAACAGTATCCCTCCTGTGTGGTATGCAAATTTCTGTGTAATTTTTCATTTAATTGACCAAAAAATTGATAATTAGCCAGACCACCCCTTATATATTTTCCCCCTTCAGGACAGAAACAACCTGGCATATAATTTCCCATTGATGGCCATACTAAGAAATACCTGCAAAATTGCATGAACAAAATAAATGGGTGAAACATTTCACATCCCCATGGACAGCAGACACACTGACATAACTCCCAATGGCACAAAAATATACTGTCATCAAGTAAACTTTTTTATCGGCATTACTTGAACATGTGCACCCCTCTGTTTGTAAACAAACCACTGCACCGCTCACAGTCAGTAGCTCCTGCCACCAGAGGTCTCACGACTGCACCACAACTATGCCTGGTTCTGAATTTAAAAAAAAGGCAGTAATTAACACCCTAGCCTGCTAGGAACACACAAGAAATGCCAGGAAAAATAGGTAAAAAGCACCAATTAACTTTCTCTCACTGAACTGTATATGTATATGTATACATTCGTCTATAACAGTCAGTGATTGCTCCATTTAGTGGTTTCTGCCCTTCAATGTCTAATTCCCATAATACAACAGCAATTGTTGATGTCACAATGTTCAATGTCTTCCCATAATACAACAACAGTTGTTGATGTCACAATGTTCAATGTCTTCCCATAATACAACAGCAATTGTTGATGTCACAATGTTCAGTGTCTTCCCATAATACAACAACAACAATTGTTAATGTCACAATCAGTCTGTCCGCAGATCTTGCATATCAATGCATAAGCGGTGATCATTATAAAAACACCTACGCGCTTGCACAAAATAGTCCGCGACGTGTGTTTCACGCCATGTTTTCAAAAATCCGTAGTTGTTATATAAATCCATGAAGCTCTGAGAATAACTCATTATTCTGCTTGAAACTTTCAAAAAATAAAACTTAGAACTTGATGTAAACGCACAATGTAAAATAAACATTTCAATTTTCGACGAAAGCCTTGTATCAGTTGTCTAAAAATAGCACACGCATTTTTCTCAAGCAGATCGTGTAATTTTGTACCCTAAAATGAAATGATTGTAGAAAAAATGGACAAACTTACTTTCATGATATTATAACAATTTATGCAACTATATATGCTGGAATTGAGCCAAGAAGAATAAAAAATTTGTACAACCGTCCTTTTTTGTGAAATCCCTATTTTAGTGCGAACTATGTAGGTCAGTCGAAACTGGGACTGTCACGTTGCACTAAGCAAGTGACTGGAGAGCGTTTTTCTCGGTAAATCTTGCATTTCGGTTGAAAAAAATTGAATGTTCAGCTTTTCAAGTGTATATTTATAGTATACAATGTGTCACTGTCATAGTGAGAGTTGTTATGGAAAATTATACGTGAAAAAATGACATCGGTGCTGGAGATCAACCAATGCTATGGTTTTAGATTTTAGAATGGAAAAATCTGCCTTTCAAGTTACATAGCTTTGGGTTTGCCGACTTAAAGGTGAGTCTTTTTTTTTTTTCATTCACTATGTTTCATATAAGCGCCGAAATGTATAGAAATGATTTTGGAGTAACCTCCCTTCGCATAGTTCAGATGCACTTGTTGACGTTTAGTACAAGTGAATGTTACATTTTGTTGCAAATTAAGTTACAGTTGTACTTTGTTTACATAAAATGTGTACTTGCGTACCTTCATCCATTGTATTTCCTTATCTAGACCTTTTCCAAAATAGGGTGTGTGTGTCTATACACACTTATTAACTAGCGCATTGCGCAATCACAGGTGTACTAAAGGTCTTTCTTGGGCAGGTTCCAAAGTTGTTTTACATTAAAAGTTTAAATATTGTGATTTTTTAACAATTTTTCGCAATTTATCTGAAATTGTTGGTATTAAAATAAAAGTCTTCAAATTAAACAAGTTTTAAAAAAATAGTTTGTCAAGGCACAGCCACACTTTATGACCAATGCACACTTTATGACCTATGCATTGTGCTTTTTCAATTTTAGTGAAATGTTGACAGCATACCTATCCCTGCCTAAGCTATAGCATGAGAATTATGGACTAGATGGCATGAAATTATGAAAAGATACCAGTCAGACAAAGCAGAAGGTAATTAAGTGTTTATATATATATATAAAAGCCAATACTTCTGTATTTTTTATAACTGGCCTATTACTAGTAGTAGGATATTACTATATAGCATGGTAAGAAATTACTTTGATAAACAACTGGTGTGAGACTGACAATGAGGTGAGTTTTTTTTTTAATCTATGGATTTTTCATTAAATTTCAGTTTTTATCTGCTTTGTATAAATTTCTTGTTTCTACATGTATGATTTTATCATTTTATTATATTTATTTCTAACAGATTCCCGAATTTCATATCAGCTGACAATAAGGGAAGAGGTGTTCTGGTCAAGACCAGGGAAAATACGATTTTGTGTGAACAGTGATGGTGCTGTTGATGCAGGTGTGACTGAACAAGAGATGGTGTTTTGTAGAGCCTTGGATATTGTTTACCCTAGAAACCTTTCTCATAGCAGACAAGTTCTGGAACATTATTTTCTTCAAGTATTATACAGGTTGGGCTTTTACCCAAAAGACTTCCATTGAGAGTGGCCTGCCTTTAAAGAGCACATAGGTGGCATGTTTACAGTGAATAAAAGTAAAGCTATGTGTACTGATTTGTTTCAAGGGTAGGAGACCAGACAAAGATTAGAATACATACAATAATGCTAATTGAAATTCCCTTGTTCAGCCTGTCCACTTCTCAGGTGGAGAGAGGATACAGTGCTCTCAAAAGAATCGAATCTGACTGGAGGTCAAGTTTGGGGAATATTATGCTTAAGTTAACAAAATTTTGACAGCAGTTTTATATGGGCCAAGTTTTTATGATCATTTAGTCAAGGAATCTATCAACCACTGGGTGGCAGGGTGGCACTCTGGGAAAATGGCCCAATTTTGAACTTGAGAATTGATTTTGTTTTCTGATTGTCATATCCAGGTAAATGACCTGGCCATTGAAGATTCTAAGGAAATAAAAAAATTGAAACATACTCGTGTAGTAAAGTTTTTTTTTCATTTTTAATGCACTTTGATATGTATTTAATTACAAATTATATTCAAGAATTTTCAGCTGGGGATGATCTTAATTGTATGTCAGTTTTGGCTAAAGTAATATTCATAACTTGCTGGGGCAGGTGCTTCTCCTGCCCTCATATCAAGTTGGCCAACGAGTTTATTGGAGCCTTGTTAACTGCTTTAATTTAAAAGGCAAAAAGTTTCAAAAAAACTTTCAAAAAGTTCAGTGCATATTGATGAGGCTGAATGAACATTTCCCAGGGACAGTACTTTAAGGACATGAATTTTAAATGTTTACTTAGTTTTGTTTAGCACACAGATTTCAAAATTTTGCACTTTTAAAAAGATAAATATAAATTTTAAATAGATTAGGGATATTTTTTCAAATTACAATTGGAATTGTCTTATTTTAAATAGTTTAATATGTAAGAGACAAAAATAGTACTAGTACATAGAAATAAATCTTGAGCAGTAAAATAAGAGAACAAGGCAGAAGTGCAGATCTTAATATAATGAATAAACTGGTGTTGAACGATTTTTTTTATCAAAACCCTTTCAGGCTTTAAAAAGTACAACCTGGCAATAGGCCAGTACTTCATTGTAAATATTTATCCAATTAAAAAAAATCTTGTTTTATTTATAACTAGATCTAGCAATATCTTTCCATATTGGTCAAAATTCACACTGGATTTCTTGTGCAGTGGATCATGACTGTACCATTTTTGATGTTTTAAGAATGAAGCATATAACTCTTGGAATATTTCTGATGTTAGATGTACAGCATTTGTTTGTATTTTAATTTTATTGTAACTTGTTTGCTCTGATATTAAGAATATTTAAGAAAACTTGTAGTCTTGCCAAGTCGGGTCAGTGCTTCAGGTTGGTCACGTGACGCTATAAATTATGATGAAAATGGGGTTCCATTTTTGTCGTCGTTTTGGAGATGCACCGATTTCCCCACACAAAATGGGTAAAAATTATAGGAAACATATCTTATGATATATCATTTGAAAGTTTATGATCTTATCTTTCTGCAGGATCTAATTGTTTGAAAATATTTTGCCTTTCATGCGATACATAATCACAGTAACCTACTGCACTTGAAAAAATCGATTATGCCGACTTTTACACCGACTTCACGCGAATATGAACACTTTGCCAACGAGTTGGGACCCAAACGCAACATGTGTTTCATATCAACACAAAGCACACTTGTTTACCTTTTAGAATATATATAAAACGCTGGTGATATCAAGATTGTAGCAATTTTGTTTAAATTGAAACACCCTAGTGTCACACGCTTCAAAAATGCGAGTGCTTGGCGTCGAGTTCACCTCGCGCTAAAAAAAATAGACAAAGCTGAATTTTCAATATATATAGACTTCCAGAAACCCAGTTTAACTAGCTTTCATGATTTAGTTATTAAAACTTTGTACAAATTAAACTTCTTATAGAAATCTTTAAATAGAAAATTTCGGACACCTGAAACAGGGCACCATTTGCAATCACCCGTGTGGATAAATCTTCCATTTTACCATTCTGAATGTATTTTTTATGACAACTAACCTTAAAATTCCGAATCCTTAGATATTCCCACTTCTTTTTATATATCAATCGTTAAATCACAGCAACTGCTGACAAAAATACACATGAAAATACGAAGAGCTCAAAAGTCGTCCATTTTCACTCGATTTTGCTGAAAGTAGTGCGAAAATGGCCGTCGCTTCAGACAGTGTGCACGCGCAGCTGGGAATCTGCGGACAGACTAAATGTTCAATGTCTTCCCATAATACTACAGCAATTGTTGATGTCACAATGTTCAATGTCTTCCCATAATACAACAGCAATTGTTGATGTCACAATGTTCAATGTCTTCCCATAAAACAACAGCAATTGTTAATTGATGTCACAATGTTCAATGTCTTTCCATAATACAACAGCAATTGTTGATGTCACACTGTTTAATGTCTTCCCATAATACAACAGCAATTGTTGATGTCACAATGTTCAATGTCTTCCCATAATACAACAGCAATTGTTGATGTCACAATGTTCAATGTCTTCCCATAATACAACAGCAATAGAGTGTTTTCCACGAAATCGTGAGCATGCGCAGTTCGCGCTATTTTGTGCGGGACTGTTTCTCAGGGGGCAAGAGTAGAAGGGGCCTTCATAGACAGCTGTCATGATGTAAAGTAGATCTCCCGCTCTTTGTATTTATCGGTAATGGGTGGTCACGACAACTGCAGTGTGTATAACTGCAGCCACCGGAGAGGTAGAAAAGACAATGTTTGTAGTTTTTTTTTTGTATTTCCAAAGGACAGACGTTCGACATTGCTATGGATTAGTGCCGCTGGCCGTGCGAACATTTCATTGAAAGATATAACTGACAACTTCAAAGTCTGTGGCTGTCACTTCCAATCCAGGAAGCCAAACAGGAAAGATAGTATGTCTATTGATGCAGTACCATCAGCTGATTTACCAAAGTCACGCAAAACGGCTAAACAGTATTTCAAGTGCGACATGGGTCGAAGCGGCGGAGAGTAGGACTAGGAAAATTATATTGAAGAAGCTAATCACAGCAAATTTATTTTCTTTCATCGTTTTATTTAGAAAAGTAAAACTGCGTACAAAATTTACTATAGCAAAGACATATTTGATTTGTTCACTGCTGAGCTGTTGCATGTCCAAGTTTGCAAATAAATTACTGTACTAGTAAATGCACTAGCAACGTGCCATCTTCCAATTAAAATTAATGTAAAAAAGATGCACATTAACACCTGAGTAAAATAAAACCAACCTACATGGGAAATGTTAATTTAAAGCACCATCATCTGAGACCAAGTTATAATTAAAAACATTACTATATGACAACGTAATTAAGTATCCATTGCACTGCTCAATACATAAAATATATATAAATTACACTTGAATCCTGCATCAACTGATCAATAAAATAAAATCTAGTCTAAAAAGATAAAAGTTCACTCCTGAGAACCATTTCCATTCTACTGTATTCCAGTCAAACCTATATAATAGCACCATCTAACACAACCATATTTTAAAACCTTACTTTATCACAGTGTTATTTAATATCTATATCCATGTTAAATACACAAAAGAAAAAATATTTTTAAAAAAACGGACTATTATCATGCAAGGATTATAATAACAGCATGAAAATAAAACACTAAAGATTTTCACAACCCAAGATCACAATGCAGAATAATATTGCACATGTTCTCAGTTTGGTATTAAATGCATGTATAGAATAAAGCTTGAATTTTTGAATGAAAAAAAAAATGAAAAAAAAAATGTTTAATAGTAGCGTACACCAACTCTGTCAAAATGAATGTCTTGTAAAAACTGGTCAGTTTAGGAACCACAGATGCCCAATGAACAGCATCAAACAGAACAGATTCAATGAAGAGATCCTTTGTGCACAAAACAAAATCATATACTCATGAATGTTGTTCACAGCCATTTGACCCTGGACTTGATTGAAGTAGCTATGTTTCTGATTTAAATAGGGCCTGTTGTTTTCATCTAGCTTTAAACATGACAGTTTTCTGGTGACACAGAGTGGTCCACTAAAGCTGTTGTGTAGATTTTCTGCACATATCCATCTTGAAAATACCGATAAGCTTTCAGACTTTTGAATGCCCGCACAAATTTCTTATCGTATGTCCTATCCTTGCTGTCTATGAGATACGTTTTTAGTTCTTTCTTGGAAAAGTCATCAGGTACGTCTGTTAAATTTCTATTCCAAGTACTAGCATGAATGTGTTTTCGAAAATATTCAGGTGTTATCATGTTACAAATCCTTGAAAATTCAGATCAAAACGAGCACTCGTCGATATGGCGTCCGTCGTGTACACTCCGCACTTGCCCCTTGAAACTTCAAATCCCGCAAAATCTCGTGTTCTCACGGAAAATTTAGCGTAAGTCACGTGACCGTGGAAAACACTGTATTGTTGATGTCACAATGTTCAATGTCTTCCCATAATACAACAGCAATTGTTGATGTCACAATATTCAATGTCTTCCCATTATACAACAGGAATTGTTGATGTCACAGTGTTCAGTGTCTTCAAATATACCAAATGGCAATCCTCAGCTGATTCCACAAGCTCCATACAAACCACGTACACGATAAGTGTAGGAATATGCATCAAATTGGTACATTTCTCTGCTGGAACTGCCTTTTCACTCAACCAGAGTCAATACACCAGAGGGATAAGTTCCCTAAAATCCAATTTTTGGGGAGTATCATAAAGACTATTCAGATAAAATGAAATTGCACATCGTCTCTGAGCTATCCAAACCTGATCCTAACTTGCAACTAGCCTTCGCATGTGTCATTTGGGCATGAGACTGAAAGTAGTTCCTTTCCTAATATTCAAAGCATGCTATGGATGCCATCATATCATGTCCGAGGTTATTGTGGAGTGTGCGAGACATCCCAAGTAGTTCCAAGTGTCCATAAATCAACAGCATTTGTTGATGCCACAATGTTCAATGTCTTCCCATAATACATAAGCAATTGCTGTTGTTTAAATTCTCAATAAATTTCCAACAACAAGAAATACCAAATTGAACACAATATACATAGCAAAGTTCTATTTGGTATTATAAGGTGATGAAGTGACCAAAATTATTTTCTTACCTGTCTTCCCTCATGACCTTGACACATTCTACAGGTTATACAGTAGTTAAAAGCTCTGAGATGGTTTGGGCAGCCACACTTTGTAAAGCACATCAGATAACAGTACTGTAGTATGGGGTGACTGGATGAAGCTGCAATCTTACTGGATAGCACATCTTATAGTGTATCATATCAGTTCTCCAAGTCCATCTTCCCCTGTTTCAACAATATACCCAGTACCACATCCTTTTCCATACACTAAAATTCAAAGAAATGAAATAATTAAAACTTATTTGCATTTGTCATGAAAGAAAATAATTAAAACTTGAGAACAAAGCTAATAAATATACAAACACCAAAAAAATCTTTTGCAACAATGCTACAACAAGGCAGCAAAATTGTGAAATGTACAGACAACAAGAGATAACTATCAGCTAGTGATGCCAGTGACAGAAACAACAGAAATACTTTCTCAGTTCCAAAATCAAAAAGGTTGCTTTATTCAGTTTCAGTCAGATACTTATTACAAATTGGTTGTCAAAATTACATTTTTACATACATGTACTGACAATATCTTTTTTGACTTTCCATTGAGAAACTCTGGAAGATACCTCTCACACACACCTAATGAATGCCAACACATCTTTGACTTCATTCAAGTACGTGTGAATAAAATACTTCCACAGTAACTCAGCTTTGAACCCAAATAAACCTTATCATAACTATATTGAAATGAGTTTATTTCCATTTTCAACACTTTTTTTACATAATAAAAAAAAAACGCAGCAAAGCTGAGGCTACTGTCAATTCTGATGCAAAAGTACATAATGTTTAACTGCAAATTCAACATCTAATTTTAATTATGCTCAACAGGTAATACCAATGTAAGTAAAATGTGTAACAAGCATAAGGCTTCAGGCCCATGGGAGTTCAAGTTCACACTTTGAAAGTGCCAGAATGAGAAAAATGAAAATTTCACACAAAATTGCATAAATTCAATAATAAATTGAGCTGGCTTTCTAATTTGAACTGCATGCCAATCGTAAAAATCATACTTGTAAGTTAAAAATAATAATAAGTAACACAGTTTTCTTTTCATAATGTTTGTAGTAGCAGTGCAAAAAGATTTTTGTCAATTTTGATGTAACATTACTAGTAAATTACTGAATAATTATTACCAATTTTTGATTATTGACTATAAATAGCATGGACATGTAGAAAATATGTACCATTCGGCTTCATGTCCGTGGGAGCTCCCACAATAAATATGCCAACACGATAAAAATGAATATTTCACTAAAATGTTTAACTTCCAGAAAAAGAAGCAAATTAGACTGCTTTTCCAACTCGGGCTACATTTTGGTCCCGTGTTTCTTTTTTTAAAGTTTGACAATCATAAGTAACATGGTTTTTCCAAAATGGTCATCACAGTAGTAGCACCCAAAATTGTGTTTTCTTCTATTTTGATGCAATAGTACATAATGCTTAACAGCATAATGACCGTTAATTTTTAATAATAAAATATTAGTATCATGGATATTCAGAAAATGTGACTAGCAAAGGTCTTCAGGCCCATGGAACTTCAAAGTCACACCTTGAAAATGCCAAAATGTAAACAAGACAGCACTGTTCTGAAATTTTTTTTTTTCCATTTTTAACAATTTTTTAACTCAAATTTTTAAATACAACATTAACAGTTTACTGCCATTTTCACTATTTTTTACTGAACATGTATAGTAAATGATTGAATCTGACAAACTGCAATGATACGAGTTTATTTCCATTTTTGAAACTCTATTACACAATACACTATAACAAGTTTACCATCTTTTTTACATAATCAACTAACAATGTTGTAAAGATGCAAAAAATGTCAAACAAACACTTTTACGTATCTTATTAGTTAAATATTGAGACTGTTAACATGCCTAAGAATTGAATCTGAGAAAATGTGAAAAAACAGCTTAACTTCTAAAATAATGGCCCAATTATGCTGATTTTTGAACTCAAACTGCGATTTAGTTAGATTGACCACTCCTGTGAGTTTCATGACAATTGGCCTATCTGTTTTTCTTATATTTTGTTTACAGTGTTGCATATATGCTGAAAAGTGAAAAAACAGCATAACTACTAAAATAGTGGCCTGATCATGCCGATTTTCGAACTTGACCTGCATTTTAGTAAGATATATGCATACAAAAAAATAGCTGAACATTAAAAAACTCCGATGAGGCTGGTTTTGAAATTCAACTTGTATTCAAGTCACATTCAGTCCTGTAAGTTTTATATGGAAGGTGTTATCTTTATTCCATATACTATATGCTGAGAAATAAAACAAAAAACACATAAATTCAAGAAAAATGGTCCCATCAAGCTGATTTTTAGGCTTGGCCTGTATATTAATACTACGTATACTGATCAGTCTTGTAAGTTTGAAATGTGTTGTCTGTCAGCATATATTATAATATATGCTGTAAAAAAGCATTAACTCCTGAAGACAACATTATTGGTTTTCCTTGAAATGTGTTGTCAGTGTTGCATACAGCATAAAAGTTATGGAAAAAAATATATCAGCATTACTTCCAGAAGAATAGTTTGAATAAGTGGATTTTCAGATTCAACCTGTATTCTAGTAACATTGGCCACTCCTGTAAGTTTGAAAACAAAAGGCCTATCGGTTTTCCTTGAAATGTATTGACTGTATTGCATACATGCTAAAAAAAAAATTGGTGGGATTATGCCTGTTTTCGAATTCTACCTGTATATCAGCTATGCAAGCTTTAAGACAACAACAACAACAGATGCAGGTGATGGCTACATATACAGGCATGATGTGTCTGTACATAAGACAGTAAAAATAATAAATTCAAAGAAACAATATGATTGAATAATAAACTAAGCAAGTGAAAAAAGTAATTCACAATGTTCAATCTCTTACCAAAATACAGCAGCAGTTGTTGATGTTAAAATGTTTAATGTATTCCCATAATGCAACTGCTATTGTTGATGTCACAATGCTCAATGTATTCCCACAATGCAAATGTCACAATGTTCGATGTATTCCAATAATGCAACTGCTATTGTTGATGTCACAATGCTAAATGTATTCCCATAATGCAACTGCAATTGTTGATGTCACAATGCTCAATTTATTCCCATAATGCAACTACTATTGTTGATGTCACAATGCTAAATGTATTCCCATAATACAACTGCTATTGCTGATGTCACAATGCTCAATATATTCCCATAATGCAACTGCAATTGCTGATGTCACAATGCTGAATGTATTCCCATAATACAATTGCTATTGTTGATATCACAATGCTTAATCCCATAATGCAACTGCAACTGCTGATGTCACAATGCTGAATATATTCCCATAATGCAACTGCAACTGTTGAATTGTACAGAGATTTAATTACTGACAACATGTGGTGAGGCATGTGAGAGGTAGAGAGTCCATTACAGGATTAAGCGGTCTTCCTTTCATATGTAGGTCTGCCATATTTAGGTCATGGCCTAACTAGCACTCGGCTCTTCTCATTCTGAGCGGTCCCTATGTATAATACAACAGCAACACAGACTTGCTGAAAACTTTTCAGAATGGCCGGACATTTGGACCGGCAGTAATGAAAAATATGCCGGACCAAAAATCACCCTATTCGTTTGAGACAGGTACTACCAGTAACATTAGGGTAGCTTACTTTATTTGTGAATGTGATAGGTTTGAAATGGAAGGGAAAAAATGCTTTGGGTTTTATATCATTTTATTAGTGAAGTATGTCGAATGGTGACTGTTAATTCAAAATTGCGACTCTTAAAACTCTTGTCGGTCCTTTGGACCGACCAAGTCCAATTTTTTACCAGTCCAGACAAATTTTGCCGGTCATGACCAATCAGACCGACAGTTTCAGCATGTCTGGCAACAATTGAAATCAAAATTTCCAATGTCTTCCCATTATAAAACAGCAATCATTGTTATCTAAATGTTCATTCTTTTAACACAAGAGAAACTACGTAATGTGAGACAAAGTTCTATCTGGTGTTATACAGTGGTAAAGTGACCAAAATGATTTTCGTCCCTCATAACTTTAACCCATATTGTATAGGTTGTATAGAAGTTTTCTGCAGAAAGATGGTTTTTGCAGCCAGACTTTGAAAAGCACATCTGATAAGAGGACAGCAGTCCATAAAATACCAGCAAGCAAGGGAAAGATTAAGACCATTTTTGGAGATATGAAAATAAATAAATAAATAAATAAATAAAACAATGAGGTGAAGGTTCATATTGTGTAAAACTGTTCTGTAGTTAAGAACTCTAGGAAAAGGCTAAAAAACGCAGATGATGTCACCAAGCTAGACACTGAACTGACACTCAATCTAAAGAAATGCCAATCAAATAAACAGGCATGGTTCTTTAATGGCATTGTATATTGCGAAGCTAAAACAGTGATACCAGTGAATATCAAATACTTGAATATTAGAAGAAAAATTGAAAAAGAAATGACAATAAATTGAAAGAAGTGCTGTTTATTGGGTATTATATATAAAAATGATCACAAAACCCTAATCGAACAAGAAGTGCATCCTACTGAGTGATGGGTGCAGTGATGTTGGATGGCCCTTTTTTTATTAAATGTTGTTTAATGTTTATGACAAGCATTAAAACAGGGTGTATGAACTGCAGAGGTCTAAGCAAGAACCAAGTTCAAAGAAGAAACATTTGATTATTTGATTTTTGTTTGAAAAAGTATGACACTTCTTAACTGAATAACAAGAATTGTTGAAAACAAGGCAGCAAAGCTGTTCAATATACAGTCATAAAGCAGATAATAATAATGCTATAATAGTCTACAAAACAGGTTTGTTGTCGATTTTAATGCAATATTTCTTTGTTCACCAGCAAAATCACAATCACTTTTCCATAATGTGCACAAGTACATAAAGAGATAACAACTCTTTATCTGGCAAGAAAGTTGACACAAAACAGCCTTTCCCCAGGGTAAACCATGCTTATACCATACTAGACAATGGTTAACCAATCCTGTCTGACAGTTACCTGGTGGTCCACTGAGACTACAACACACTTAAAGCTGATGCCATGGGTGTATGTACAGATGCACATCAAAGATATACCCATCCCAATATGATAATAAAAACTATCATAAATCAATCACTTTTGTCAAAAACTCATAAAATTTCACAACCAGAAATTAACATGTTAAAGAGGGCCCAAAGCAGCCAAGACAGCTTGCAATTGTCTCAATACAATTCACCATGATTTCGCTTCACCTTTAGGTTAAATCAGATTATACTGTCAACCTCTTTTAAAGATCAGAAATGAATGAGGAAAGATGTTTAAAAGATATATAAACTTGAAAATTATGACTTTGCAAAACCTTTATATGCTGTAATACGCATTTTATAATAAGCTTGACATTTCAGCACCTTTAATAAAATCTATTACAATTTACTGAAAATAAGACATTATTTTTAGATTACTCACCTCTTTTTGGAGAACAAATTCAATACATTCATCTGCATCTATCGTTTTGTCACAAACATCAACGCTGCCATCTAGAGTCAACTTCCTGAAAATAAAGTAACTGAATTAAAAAAACGTTTATCTAAACAATTATATTATTTTTTTAATGCAAATAACTTCTCCATTTACAAATTGTTTGTTGATACAGCTATAAATATAAATCAAACAAGGTCATATTTAAGTTCTCTTTAGAAAGAAATCAAAGTTTTTCTTTTCAATAAAATACAATATGTACATGTGTAGGATAACCAACGCAAAGAAAATGATATTCCTGCATCAAAACATTAAAATATAATCATGTCACATTTTCCTAACTATAATTACTATTCCAAGACCTGGATGCTGTCATCAGGTGTTAACTGTGGCTATCTACCTGGACACTGTCCACAGGCATGTGACAATACAGCTACATGTGTTAGTGTACTGGTTAAAATTTTGATTATTTTTTCCGGCAAAATAAAAGAATGCATTTAAAAAGTCAGTTCTGCAGACTAAGAATAAAATATGTTGTCTTCAAAACATGAAAAAGTAGTTCAGTGAGAAAAATCTTTCCTATTCCTCTCCGTACACTGATTTTTTCATCCTTTCTGCAGATTCCCAGAGCGAACTTTTAGACATAACAGAAATCTGGTGACAGAAATTCCATGCCTGATCCCAGAAAGATATTGATAAACATAGCATTGATACCAAATAGATCAAATAATAATAATATCAATATATAAACCCACTGACAGTGACAATGACCATTGCATCCAGTTCACTGCTGACCACATCTCTAATCTGTTTACCTGAGTGTCCCTGGTACTGTCTACCTCGAGCTGAAGGAAAGCATATAATGTTAGTCCACCACACTCTCTCCGCTGAATACTGACGTGTGGTTGGAAATCTGTGTGTATGGGGGTGGGGGGGGGGGTTAACCCCCTCCTAACCCACCCCAGCTACTGTGTGCACGTATCCGGTATCGATGTCGGGTCTCATGCTGCCACTAGGCGCTGGATCTCTGCGTTTCCGGGGAGCGGAAGAGTTAACGCGGTCAGCGTCATTTTAGGGAGAGGCAGATGAAATACAAAGATCTCATAATATCTGTAAACTTGTACTCGCTGCAATTGAATGAATGCATCTTGCTTTTTAACTTTTCTTAATTTTCCAGTATATTTTACCTTCAGTTATTCTAGGCATGCCAAATATTTTGGGTAATTCGACACCTCTCTCTCTCTTCATCCTCCCCCTTAAATGTTCCACGTTAGAAAAAATCAATAATCGTATGGGAGAATAACCCGAGAATAACACAGGCAATTGACCTACTTCACCAGTCAGCGCTATTTTACTAATTTTATGACTTGGGAGAGATTACGTCATTCACGTCTGGAATGTGTTGTTTTTATGATTATATAATTATTAAATTACTCATATTGATAAAATATCTATAAATGTGTCAGTAAAGAAGGAACAATACTTTTTAAAAATAATGAAAAAAATATGTAAAGGACCCAGCATAAGATAAAAACGGATTTTTTCTCTTATTTGCAAATGAGATTGTCTTTAGTAATAAAGCTGACAGGAAGTGATGCTCAAATCAGAGATTTCAAAGGTGGTGATTTTGATTAATCTGTATTTTGATATCAAATCGATTGATAATATTAATAATAGAAAAATATAATTGAAGCTACCAAATCAAATATTCCCCCAGGATTGCTTGAAGGGGGGGTCCCGGATGCGAAGTTTTTTTTGTACAGTGTTAAAAGTTCTTCAATTGCCATGAAAGTTTTTAATCAGACTCTGTATGGTGCTGCTATCTGCTGGAGCTATCGGCAACGAATTAGTTTGTCTTTGTTTCTGAGTGAATCTACCGTCTAAAATCACTATTTCTGAAAATATGTGCGTTTTGCTGAGGGTAGGCTAGGCAATACACGGCAAACTTCTTAGTACGTGTGTACAACAGAATTTTTTTAAAAACCCTAGCGATATTTGGTCAGGAGTTGCTTGAAGCATAGAACAGCCTTGCTGTCTATCGGCATCAGGCCGTTAGTTTGTCAATTATCACGAATTACCCACAAATCGCGAACCCATTTATTTTCCTATGGCAATCTAGCAACTCATTAAAAGTGCACGCATGCGCAGTGGGCTAAGCGTGACGTCATGCAGTGCATTTCTGGGGATGATTCTCCACAAAATTTGGATTCAAACGGGTCGTAAGAGCCCGTTCGGCCGGTTGTGACCGAGGCTAATGTGTTGTCGTCCAAGTTTTTTAGGAACTTTGCGGCCTCTTTTGAACAATACCGATGTTCAATTTTAAGCAATTAAGATTTGTATACGCAATAGCATAAAAACAACATCATCAAGGATTTCCCTGGGGCCATTTTTTTTCCACATATCTCACCAATATCCAAAGCGTTTTTCCATTTGAAAAAAGTATTTCTTATACAATGTAGGCCGTGCTTCCGACTCGTTGACCAATTTATCAAATCTATATGTGAAACAATATCGATGTGAGGTGACAGACTCTCCCATGATAGACAGTCCGGTTCCCATCAATTTGCATAGGTAAGCCCCGCCCTAGATTTTAATCCACTTACGTAGACTGACCCTAACCTGTATAATTAAATGGAGGGTTGACTCTCTGTCACCCAGACCCTCAGTTTCGTGGAAATTGCAAAGGGGGAGTAATGATGCGGGGGAGTATCGGTGCGGGGAAACAACAATGCGGGGGAGTATCGGTGTGTGGGGGAGGGGGTAACGGTGCGCGTATAACGGCAATTTTAGAGGGGATTTATCGATGCGGGGATCTATCGGTGTGGGGTCGTATCAATGTGCATAATGCAAAAATTTACTAAGGGGAAGTATCGGTGCAGGGGAGTATCGGTGCGGGGGAGTAACGGTGCGGGGGAGTATCGGCATGACCCCTCTGTGAGAAAGTAGAAAGTTTCCATTTGATGTGTCCAGATGTCTCGGAGACGGCTTTTTCTCTTTGATGATTCATGATTTTTATGTATATTACTGAGTCACTGAACATTCATCTCAATCTTTGTTATTTTGTTTTAACCAGTAGGATAATAAGGATATGCAAGGCAAATGACGACTTAAATAATGTAAAGTTGACACAGATTACACAAAAAAATACATTTTTTCACAAAAAATTAAGCTTTGTGCTCATTTGCAGTTTAAGTTTTATGTAGAAATAGCGTCTCTCTCTCTCTCGCTCTCTCTATAGGCCTAATAGCAAAATAGCAACGGAGTAATATGACAGAGGTACAAAGAAAATGTAAGCACTACAAAGATGAAGCAAGAAAATTTAACATTTGTCTTCATCATGATTCCAGGACTTTTATTTCCTCCGAAATCACATTAATCGGCAAAAGTTAACCTAGTTTTGATAATTATTCCAGACCTTTTACGTTTGGGCCAACGAGTTCTAAGTAGGCCATTTTCTTGGCTAAATTCAAGAAAGTTTTAGAAGAATGACCCTTTCTAAAATCTATAGATATAGCCGTGTGAGTATTTAGGAGTGATCTTCTGTGCCACGTCACTTACAATGAGCAGTTCATTTAAAATTACAAGGTTTTGCGATTTATAGTTGTAGAAAATAACAAAAACTGTCAAATTCAGGGAACATATATGTGACTACATGTTTTTTTCTGCAATCAAAATGCAGCAAATTAACAGTTGACTTTATTTTGACTTTTTAACTAAAACACACTCATTTATCTCATTATAAAAATTATATGTATTATTTATATTTTTCATTTTTATAGCAGACTAAACAGTTATCTGAAAATTAACTTTCTATGAACACATGCAACGAATAATCAAGAAAATTCAGATGCAACACTCGTGATAAGCATATTCGGTTAAAAATATAATCATGGTTGTCGTGAGGTACCAGCTAACATCACTTTGGGTTCCAGTCTTTAGTGAAATAGAATGTACATGTACCTCGACGAAGAGAAAAAATTCTCATCATGTCACCAAAACCTAAAGGTATTTCACTCGGGGATCTAAGACTTTGTGTTGAAAGAGGAAGGGTGATGTAGGATAAAAATGTCTCTTTTCGTTCGGCAAATGTAAAACAGTGTAGTATGATACAAATAAAAACACACTGTGTCTTGCGCTATGGTATTATACATGTACATTGCAAGTAATACTTCTTATTACAGATTTATGAACAACTTTCATTCAACATTTGTCTTCTGTTATTTTCTGATCGGTAGATGAGGAACTTAAGTGCCAAGAGACATGCATTAAAACATTTTAACGATATTCTTTATTGAGATAAATGGTTAAAAAACCGTTGATTTAATGGCCTATTATATGTACATATTTACAGCTGCCAAGGGCTTGTCACATCTAGCACATTTCCATGAAATCTGTGGTTGTCGTCACAACCATGTTGAGACAGGACAGAAGCCAAAATATACCGCGTGTAAAAATTGTTTTTAGTAGATGTCAATTTTAGTAGAGTAACTTACTTAACAATTACTTATAATATCATTTTACTTTGATCTGAGAATAGCTAGAAGAAGTGCAAAAGTGCAAATGTGCGTGGAAGAGGGGTGGGATTGGGAAAATGTGTATTTCAGAAGTTATAGGTATAAAGGGAGGGGCACGTGGCCCCCTCCCTCTTAGATCCACTGAATAAGTGACCAAATCATGAAAAAATCCCGCATTGTATGTGGTGTTGCGTCTTGTCGTACATGAAGGACACAAGTGAAAAATGCATCGTGTCTTGTGTGTTGATAGTATACCTTGCAACTAATACTGCATTTAAAAGATTCATGAAAAACTTTATATTACAATGTCAACTATGCGTATCAGTAGATGAGGAACAGAAGTACCAAAAAGACGCACTTTAAAAACCCTTTTACAAGATGTTTTAGGTAAATGGTTAAAAATCGGTAATTATGGCCTACTATATGCATTTACAGCGGCCAACGGCTTGTCACATCTAGCACATTTCCATCAATTTTGTGGTAGACGTCACAACCATGTTGAGACAAGACAAACGTCAGAATATTACCGCGTATTAAAAGTTGTTTTTACATATGGACCGGGCCCCCTATGTCAAAATATCATTTCTCGAGGAAATTAAATACATGCATGGCTTTAAAGTCTTATATAAGATAAAGTTGAATGTCCTGTAAGTGTTGTAATAGCATGTCAAATAATCATGTGATTTAAGATATGTGTTGAAGACGTGTATTGACCGCTTGAAATGACTGGAGGATTGGCTAGTTATAATAAACCAGTGGCGATTTAGAGGGGGGGGGGGCATGACTCTTCGGTTTCTGAAAAATAAATCACACCTGTCCTCACCCCTTCACCTAACCCCAGCAGCTGAAGTCGCATAAACAAGGGCACTGTGAGGGCGTTTTGAACTATTTTATCCACGCTTTATTGCAGTGAAATAAACCAACAAATAGTTACAAGAGTGGTTTGTTTGTTAAATAGGACAGTAATATTTTTGTTAACAGTTATATTTTTCTTTCCCATCCACGTATCTTATTATAACAGGTCCTTGCTGACAATTACCCCCGCAAAAATTAAACCACTTACCTCAACCACAACACGAATGTCACCTTTAATGAAGATTAATTAGTATCGTTTAATTAATTTATTTATTTATTTATTTGCAGAAAGTCTTTGACAGTAAAAGAACCTGTCAATATTCCACACATAATGCAAAAACATTTATCCTTCCTTCTTCCACGCACGAAATGACCCATGCGCTACCTCCAGAATAACGTCAAATGTCATATTTCTTTACTTGAATCTGTTTTTAAATTGGTTTCTTTTGCTAAATTCTTCTTTTTACAAAATAGTTTTTAATCTAGATTGTCGTATTAGAGACGCTGAAGGGTTCAAAAAGAGAACTAGTTTTGGAAACATGTTGCACATATTCTCTTGAAATATTTTGCAATTTAATTACTAACTTCAGATTTTAGCGCTGTCTTTCGGCGTACTCACTGATTCACTGCGAGAGAA